ACAGTCTCTTGAACCCCGGAGGCGGAGGTTGCAGTGAGCCGAGATCATGCCACTGCACTCCAGCCTAGGAGACAGAGTGAGACTCCATCTCAAAAATAACAATAATAATAATAAAGAACATTTGGGATCTTTCCAGTTTCAGGCAATTACTTATACAGAATTGTAATGGTTGTAACATTCACTTGAAGGTTTTTCTGTGAAAATAATTTTTATTTCTCTTGGGTGAATATCTAGGAATAAGAGTTAGTAACTGGGTTGTAAGATAAGTGTCCATTTGGGTCCTTTTATGAGAAACTGCCAAGTATTTTTCAAGGTGGTTGTATCATTTTATGTCCCTACCATATCAATTTATCCTTTTATGAGAAACTGACAACTATTTTTCAAAGTGGCTGTATCATTTTATGTCCCTACCAGCAATCCATAAGAGTTCCAGTTATTCAGCATCCTCTCCCATACTTGACATTGTCAGTTTTCTGATTGTTAGCCATCCAGATGGTTGTAACGGTGTCTCATTTTCTTTTTAATCTTTATCTCCCTAATGACTAGTTATGTTGAGCCTCTTTTCATGAGCTTATTTGCCATCCTTATATCACCTTTAGTAAAGTATCTACTCAAATCTTTTGCCTATTTTTTTAAGTATTTATTTTCTGGGGTTATTTTATTGGCTTGTTTTTTTAATTATTGTTTAATTGTTAGAGTTCTCTGTGTATTCTGGATACAGGTATATGTTATCCGATACATTTTTGCAAATGCATTTTTTTTTTCTTTTGAGATGAAGTCTCACTCTGTCACCCAGCCTGGAATGCAGTGGTGCAATCTCAGCTCACTGCAACCTCCACCTCTTGGGTTCAAGCAATTCTTGTGCCTCAGCCTCCCCAGTAGCTGAGATTGCAGGCAGGAGCCACCACACCCGGCTAATTTTTGTATTTTTAGTAAAGACAGGGTTTCACCATATTGGCCAGGCTCTTAACGTCAAGTGATCCACCCGCCTCCACCTCCCAAAGTGCTGGGATTATAGGCATAAGCCACTGCCCCACAAATGCATTTTTCTAGTCTGTGGATTACCTTTTCATTTTTTTACTGTTATTTTTCAAAAAGCAGATGTTTTTGATTTTTGTTGAAAATTTTATCAGTTTACCAATAGATAAAACTTCATCAATTTATCCTTTTTTATTATTTTATCAATCCTGGTGTTGATACTATATCTCCATGCATGTACTCTTGAATGCTCAAATTTGCCTATCATCATTCCTTGCTTACCTCAGCAGCAATCCTATTACTTTTCATAGCTTACAACCATCTTTCACATTTAAACATTGCTTTGATTATCATTTTCAGTAAAGTTAGGCCAGAGATTCATCAGATGAGCTCACTGCTGGTGCTCAGATGTCCAAAATGGCTTGACCAATGCTATACGGTAAGCATGGATGACAGAGCTCTCATGCCTTGAAACCAAAACTGACTTGCTTCCTAATGCACATGAATTATACGCCTCCCTCCCCTCAATACACACACACACACACACACACACACACACACACACACACACACACACAGCTTCTCTTTTCTTCATCAGCTTCCTAGTCAGCATCACCCTCCTCCTTCACCGTGCTTCCCTTCACCCAGCTGTCAGCCCCACGATGCTTCCAGGGGAGTGTGGAGTGCAGACAATACAGTGCTCTTCCTGGAAACTGCCCTCCTCTCACCTCCCTGTCTCATGAGTCCTCCAACTCTCTTCCAGTAGCCACTTCTTGCCCACGTGCTTTAATTCCTTGGAAAATTACCCAACTCCGTCCCCCTTTTTTGTGAATTTTTCTCCAGACAAACCTATATGTAGCCTAGGCTGTCAGATAGGGAGACCTGATCACAGAACTTTGGCTTCCTCATCCTAAAATAGAACCAACTGCATTACAGGGTTGCAACCAAGCACAATCCATTATAAGGATTAAATAAGATGCTTTGTAAAGGATATAATGCCTGTGCATGAAGCATTATGTGACAGATATGCTCTTTCACCACCCTAATTCCAGAGTAAACCCTCAGGAGCTTCCGTGTTGTACGTATGCAGTGGCGATCCTTACCTATTCTTATTCAGAAATCTCCTAACTGACCTCCATATTGTGAATAAGATTCTTTTTTCTGTTATAAGCATAGTGCTTAACAGATGCCATCTTTCTGAGCACAACTCAGCCATGTCCGATTGATTTCAGTCTAACCCACTTTCTTTTTTTTTTTTTTTTTTTTGAGATGGAGTCTTACTCTGTCACCCAGGCTGGAGTGCAGTAGCGGGATCTTGGCTCCGTCTCCTAGGTTCAAGTGATTGTTCTGCTTCACCCTCCCAAGTAGCTGGGATTACAGGTGCACACCATTATGCCTGGCTAATTTTTGTATTTTTAGTAGAGACAGGGTTTCACCATGTTGGCCAGGCTAGTCTCGAACGCCTGACCTCAAGTGATCCACTCACCTTGGGCTCCCAAAGAGCTGCGATTACAGGCATCAGCCACCTTGTCCCACCCTGTCTAACCCACTTTCACAGCACAGACCCATTTTAATCTTATCTGTCCCTAATCTCTTCACCTACTCCAACATGTCAAGCAACAGGAACTATTATACTTATGGTTTAGAATACATGTGCGGCCAGGCAAGTTGGCTCACGCCTGTAATCCTAGCACTTTGGGAGGCCAAGAAGGGTGGATCACCTGAGGTCAGGAGTTCAAGACCAGCCTAGTCAACATGGCAAAACCCCGTCTCTACTAAAAATACAAAAATTAGCTGGGCATGGTGGACACCTATAATCCCAGCTACTCGGGAGGCTGACTGAGGCAGGAGAATCGCTTGAACCTGGGGGCAGAGGTTGCAGTGAGCTGAGATTATGTCACTTCACTCCAACCTGAGCAAAAGAGTGAAACTCCATTTCAAAAAAAAAAAAAAAAGAGAGAGAGAGAAAGAAAGGAAGAAAATAAAAATAAAAAACATATGAACTTGTGATCTCTTACCCCTGGCCCAACCCCTCCACCCAAAACTCTCTCCGCCCTCACATTACCTGTACCTATAAAACAAAGTCACCTTGTTCCTCAAGATCTGCCTTACTGTTACTCTCTCCCTGTAGCCTTTCTCAGTACTCCACTGTTATCTCTTTGACTTTTGGCAACCTTTGTACCTCTTTGATATTACTGCTCTATATTACAGCCATTATCTTATTGTCCTGTGTGACAGTTACCTTCGCAATTCTCTTAACCCTCTTCATTCAGTGCTGGAACCTATCTAGTAACTTGAACAGTAGCCTGCTTGTATGTGATCAAGGGTCAATTGATACTTTTAAAATTGATTTTAAATTTTAATGCATTTTCTGAGACTTGAAAGTTAACACAATGATGTCAGAAGTGATGGTTAAAATTTTCAGGCTTTGAAAACTTCTACTTTGCAAAGTTGAATTAGACAGCAAAGTTCTGTAGCTCCCTCCTGGCAAGGAGTTTGAGTTTTCTGTTGGGATCAAGGCAGTCAGCAACCTTCAAGGGTTCTTGCACTTGAGCAAAGGAGTCATTAATGGAAATTCGTATTGGCAATTACAGCATCTACCTCATTTCTTTCTTTCAGTCGCAGTATTCAAAGGCAGGCTTTATTCTCCTTCTTGCTGGGTGTTACAAGCTACACTTGCCTCTCTGTTTTATGTTTTCCTACTCCAGCTGTCTGGTGTGGATTTTCCTTCTGCTCCAAGCTTCTTTCGTCTCTTCCTCCTTATGCTTCCTACTCTTAGAATGGCCTGGAAGTGTTACTGGGCAAGAACTGCCTTCCTGGGTCCTCTCCACAGGGGTGGCCTGCCCGTGCTGACTCTCCTTGTGTCATTCTTGCATGGACACATGTCCAGGGAGAGATAATATGTATGACCTTGTCTATTCTGAGTACAGGGTTATAAATCAAGAAATTGCACGGTTAGTGAAGTTCAGTAGACCAAGCAAGACCTAAGGGTCAGGAACTTTTCAATGTTTATCCCAGTGTGGATTCAGATGTCTTGGGGAATTTTAGCAAGTCACTTAACCTCTCTGTGTCCCTGTGATCTTCCTATATAGTACTGATACAGTTATTTTATAAGAATCTAGCACTTTAACATTTTCATGTTACAGTTTTATTGAAATTAATTTTCAATAGATTTGTTGGCTTATAGTTTTATTATTTCTGATTTTAATATGAATTTTTACTTAAGCTGATTTAGATCTTCCTTTCTTTTTTTTTTTTTTTTTTGAGACAGAATCTTGCTGTGTCTCCCATGCTGGAGTGCAGTAGCACAATTTCAGCTCACTGCAACCTCCGCCTTCCTGTTTCAAGCGTTTCTCCTGCCTTAGCCTCCCGAACAGCTGGGATTACAGTGTCTGCTAATACGCCCAGCTAATTTTTGTATTTTTAGTAGAAACGGGGTTTCACCATGTTGACCAGGCTGGTCTCAAACTCCTGACCTCAGATGATTTGCCCATCTAGGCATCCCAAAGTGCTGGGATTACAGGCGTGAGCCACCACCCCCAGCCAGATCTTCCCCTTTAATATTAACATTTTAATGTGGTTACATTTCTTAAAAGAGTATTTACATTCATTTCATAACCACACCAATTTAAATTTGGGGTGGCTTTCTTTCCTTTACAAGTGATGTAAAATCGTAGTGAAGCTATTGGAAAAGAAAAGGGTAGAAACATGTCAGTGCTTTGACACTGCAGGAGGGAATTTGGAAGATGCCCTTTATTAACGACAGATGGAATCTTCATCATCGTGTAGACTTCAGATCCTCTTTTTGAAAACTTCACACTTACTTATAATCTACACCTTACCTGGTTTAAACAAGTCATGAAAGGTATAGCAAAATGATGGCCTTTAAGGAAATTGTTGCCCAAAACAGAAACCGTATTGAGTATGTTAAGCCAAGTTTAATTATCAAGACCTACTGATTTCCTTTCATATTTGTGCGGTCACATCTCTCACCTGGACTGTCCTTTTTCTTATTTTACTAGTGGTCCTTTGGCGTGCTCCTCTGGGAGCTGATGACAAGAGGAGCCCCACCTTATCCTGATGTGAACACTTTCGATATAACTGTTTACCTGTTGCAAGGGAGAAGGCTCCTACAACCCGAATACTGCCCAGACCCCTTGTAAGTAGTTCTTCCTGTACCTCTTACGTTCTTTACTTTTACAGAAATGCCTGCTTTCAAAGGGTCTCTTACAGCATTTCCTCCTTTTTGAAACAGATATGAAGTCATGCTAAAATGCTGGCACCCTAAAGCTGAAATGCGCCCATCCTTTTCTGAACTGGTGTCCCGGATATCCGCGATCTTCTCTACTTTCATCGGGGAACACTATGTCCATGTGAACGCTACTTATGTGAACGTAAAATGTGTGGCTCCATATCCTTCTCTGTTGTCATCACAAGATAACGCTGACGGCGAGCTGGACACCTGAACAGCCTCTTTCTGGGAGACATCATAGTGCTAGTACTATGTCAAAGCACCAGTCCACACTTTGTCCAGTGGTTTTTTCACTGCCTGACCTTCAAAAGACCATCAATATTCTTTGCTCTTGCCAAAATTGCACTATTACAGGACTTGTATTGTTATTTAAATACTGTATTCTAAGGAATTTCTTATCTGACAGAGCATCAGAACCAGAGACTTGGTCTCACAGGCCACTGCAGCCGTGACAACACTCCTATCATATTGGAGTCCAAAACTTGAATTCTGGGTTGAATTTTTAAAATATCAGGTGCCACTTGATTTCATTTGGGAAACTGAAGCAATGAATGTTGAGGGCTTATCATAGAAAACTCAGAAGAGATAGTAATGTTCAGGACAGACGCAGCAGCACCAGGACAGGCTGCTTGTTTAGAATTCCAGTTTTTCAAAAAACTTTTGTGCATTGTATGGTCAATAACATTTTTCATTACTGATGGCGTCATTCACCCATTAGGTAAACATTCCCTTTAAATTTTTGTTTGTTTGTTTTTTGAGACAGGGGTTCTCTCTGTTGCCCAGGCTGGAGTGCAGTGGCGTGATCACAGCTCACTGCAACCTCCATCTCCCAGACTCAAGCCTCCTGAATAGCTGGGACTACAGGTGTGCATCACCATGCCTGGGTAATTTTTGAGTTTTTTTTTTTTTTTTGCAGAGACGGGGTTTTGCCATGTTGCCCAGACTGGTTTCGAACTCCTGGACTCAGGCAGTTCACCCACCCCAGCCTCCCAAAGTGCTAGGATTGCAGGCATGAGCCACTGCACCCAGCCCTTCTAAATTTTTGTATAGACATTCCTTTGGTTGGCAGAATATTTATAGGCAATACAGTCAAAGTTTCAAAATGGCATCACACGAAATGTGCTTATAAATGAACAGGATGTATTGTACATAGATAACATTAAGAAGGTTTGTATGAAATAATTTAGTCATCATGAAATATTTAGTTGTCATATAAAAATCCACTGTTTGAGAATGATGCTACTCTGATCTAATGAATGTGAACATATGGATGTTTTGTCTGTATTTTTTTTAAATGACAACTCAAAATAAGACATGTAATTTGTGATGATAAGTATTTTTAAAGGTAACTCAGCATGTTTGTAAAGCAGGATACATTTTACTAAAAGGTTCATTCGTTCCAATCACAGCTCATAGGTAGAGCAAAGAAAGGGTGGATGGATTGAAAAGATTAGCCTCTGTCTTGGGGGCGCTTCCCACCTCACAAACAATTAGAGACAAAACTCTTGGGGAGTTTTATTTTGCATTAGGGTATGTTTTGTGTTAAGCAAAACATATTTTAGAAACAAACAAATGAAAAAGGCAATTGAAAATCCCAGCTATTTCACCTGAATGAAATAGCCACCCTGAGCAGGACTTTGTGATGTTTTGCTCTGTGGAATTTTGTGCTTACTACTGTATAGTGCATGTGGCGTAGGTTACTCTAACTGGTTTTGTCGATGTAAACATTTAAAGTGTTATATTTTTATAAAAATGTTTATTTTTAATGATATGAGAAAAATTTTGTTAGGCCACAAAAACACTGCACTGTGAACATTTTAGAAAAGGTATGTCAGACTGGGATTAATGACCTCATGATTTTCAATGACTGTAAATTGTGATAAGGAAATGTACTGATTGCCAATACATCCCACCCTCATTACATCACCAGGATTTGAAGCCAAGGGTTAACCCAGCAAGCTACAAAGAGGGTGTGTCACACTGAAACTCAATAGTGGAGTTTGGCTGTTGTTGCAGGAAAATGATTATAACCAAAAGCTCTTTGATAGTGGGGAGACTTACCAGAAGACCCAAGGAATTGTACTGAAGAGCTTTATAATCCAAATATTGCTGTTTCATAAATGTAACAAGTAATACTAATTCACAGAGTATTGTAAATAGTGGATGACAAAAGAAAATCTGCTCTGTGGAAAGAAAGAACTGTTTCTACTGGGATCAAGTGAACGAACGCATCAAGAATAGAAAGAACTCGGAGAAACCTCCCATCAACAGGACTGCGCACTTGTATATACATTCTTGAGAACACCGCAATGTGAAAATCAGGTTTGCTATTTATAAACTTGTCCTTAGATTAATGTGTCTGGACAGATTGTGGGAGTAAGTGATTCTCTAAGAATTAAATACTTGTCACTGCCTATACCTGCAGCTGAACTGAATGGTACTTTGTATGTTAATAGTTGTTGTTCTGATAAATCATGCAATTAAAATGAAGTGATGCAACATCTTGTATACTGATAGTTGGTTATTGCCAGTCATGCTTGATTACCCACATTTGCATAATGATAGAGGAAGCCTAAGATTGATTTCACCTGGCTGCATAGAGCTCATCCATATAGGAGAGTCTTAGTCAAGTTAATGCTGAGGAAGTAGTAAAACAACATGCATCCCTGAATCTCAGGAAGTCTCTGTCTTTCCAAGGGTTGGGTCTATGTTACTGATTACCTGGATTTTTCTGACAGTCTTCCAACTGCTGGCACAGCTGTTTTAATATGGTTCTGGTCTCCAATAAGGTGTGTCTTTAGACTAGAAAACACAAAAAATGGAGCCCCATAGTTGGCATACAGATATCTAGGTGTGGGTTGGAGAGAGGCCTTCTTGCCCCCTCAGAAAGACTCTTTATCTACACAGGTGTCTGCCCTTTTACCCCCAGTTACCAGAGAAATTACTTTCAGGTTATCTCCATGTATAGTCTTGTAACGCTAAGGGAATTCAAAGATGATCATTCCAGCCACCTAAGAATTCTGTGATACTTTGGGGAAATCAAAAACCCAGTTTAAAATAATGCCTATAAAATACAGTGGAGACTGATTCTTTACTGGGAAATGATTCAATCCCCGCTTATGGCCAAACTCTCTCCCAGTCAAACGAAGCATTTCCATGGGAAGCTTAATCCAGCTCTCTCCCATGAAGACAAGAACCTGTCATCTTTGCCTCTCTAGAATCTGGCACTTAGTAGATTCTTAAATAATTGCTGAACCAAAACAGCATTTTCTTATTCCCCATCACTTTATTTATTTATTTATTTATTTATTTATTTATTTATTTATTTATATTTTTTGAGACAGGGTCTCACTCTGATGCCCAGGCAGGAGTGCAGTGGCATGATCTTGGCTTGCAGCAACCTCCACCTCCTGGGTTCAAGCAATTCTGCTGTCTCAGCCTCCTGAGTAACTGGAATTTCAGGCACGTGCCACCACATAATCCCAGCTGATTTTTATGTTATTAGTAAAGACGGGGTCTCGCCATATTGGCCAGGCTGATCTCAAACTCCTGGCCTCAAGCGATCCACTCGCCTCAGCCTCCCAAAGTGCTAGGATTACAGGCATGAGCCACACTGCGCCCTGCCTACTTTAAACCACCATGGATAGAGTTATTGCCTATGTAGCTTCCAGGATGTTTGGTGAACACTGATATGGAGAGGGTAGACATTTGGGGGGACAGAGAAATAGAAAGATGGACCTTTACAAAGTTTGGCATGGTGCTATGCATTTTAAATTACCACAAGGTTTGTGCTTCACAATATAAGCATCAATTATATTTGCTCTCTGATCTACACACAGTAGATTCCATCCTTAAAGAAATAGGGAGAAGGGATATAAAACAAGTAAAAATACATCAAGTGTGTAAATGCTGACATTAGGCATTGTTAATCCACCCAATTTAGTTCAGGAAAAGAGTTAGCATTATATAAAACAAATTGAATAGTATTTTATTTAGCTCAACAAACATCAAGCACCTATGTATGTCAAACACTACTAAGTAAGGGGGAAATAAAAATAAACAGTCCCTCTCACCCCAAGGAATTTGATGAAACAGACAAAATTACATAATGAATATTAGAATTGTGCATTTCTTAGATTTGTAAATGTCTTAAAGAAGCATCACAGTTTAAACATACACAAAGTGCAGGCTCCTGGGCAACAGACCAAGCCCGGACTCAGGTTAGGCAACATGTTGAACATTTCTAAACCTGTGCCCTCATCTGTCAAATACTTTAATCCTGGTTACCCCCACAAAGTTGTTTGAAGACTTTTTTTAAAAGTATATAAAGGCACTTGGCACACCATAGTTGCTCAATAATCGTAACATCATTATTATCTTTAGTGTTAGACAATAAATGCCCATGTGTAGCCTTAGTTGGCTAAAGGGAAATGAGGCCTGGAGTGGCATTACAGATGTTTAAATCCAAATTCTTACCCTATTCGTCTTTTTTTTTTTTTTTTTTTTTGAGACAGTCTTGCTTTGTCACCCAGGCTGGAATGTAGTCGTACAATCTTTGTTCCTGCAACCCCCACCTCCCGGGATCAAGCAATTCTCCTGCCTCAGCCTCCTGAGTAGCTAGGATTACTGATGCTGGCCACCATGCCAGCTAATTTTTGTATATTTAGTAGAGATAGGGTTCCACCATGTTGGCCAGGCTGGTCTTGAACTCCTGAGCTCAGGTGATCTGTCCCCCTCAGCCTCCCAAAGTGCTGGGATTACAGGCATGAGCCACTGCACCCAGCCAACTTCTTACCCCATTCTTCACCTCACATCTGCTTTATATACAGTAGAAAAAGCTGTGATTCTGCCCCATCCTGAGCATTGATACGACAGTGAGGGTGAGAGAGGAGAAAGGTGACAAGACAGTGACACTGGCAGGAGAACTCCCTCACTTCTTTTTCTGAACTCTCCACTATCACTTTAATCACTTCTCCTATGATGGGTTCCTTTTTTCTGTTTTAGCCTTTATACCTGGAATACATAACAGACATGGAAGAGAACATTCCCTCTAAATGACAGGCATGTTGCATGAAGGTGCAAGAATAAGAGTCATAGTCTTCAGTATTGGTATCTAGAAATTGTTATTGTTTCTTATTTTTGCTGAAATATTAATAGATGGTTCATGATCATTCAGATTGAAGAAAAAGTAAAAACTAAGTCAACGTTTTAGTTATGTGTTATGCGTTTGGAAGACAAGGCATACATGACTAAACACGCAGAGGGGTTACACAGGCACATATGACTCACTGTTGTAGTACTTTAGACAGTTTCAAGACAGAGAGAGAGATGCAGATATTATGCCCTAAAGGAAGAAATGCTTACTGCTGTTTTTTGTATTTGAGGGGTTCTTTCAGGACTATCTCAATTTCTTATCTATCAAAGAATTGGAAAAAACTTCAGTCATAAACCTATGAAATATTTCAGTTGGGGAATTGAAGGTAATAAAACAGATGCTTGCCCAAACTGTCCTTTGCTGTAAATTATTCCAGAGATCTAGATTACGTCAGCCAAAGATATTGATCACAATGCTGAGAGGTTTATAACTGCTATTGACTTACCATGTGACCCTGGGGCAGAAATCTAGGAAAATTGCAAAAGCATATCTACAGTAATGAAAAGCCCATCATTAATAGGACTTACTATCTTGTCATCCAACCAATACTATGTTGGCTTCAAGGCAAATATTTAACAAACATTCGAAGCAGCACTTCTGTCTTCTCCCTTTTATCTTCCATTGATGTTCCTGAGTTGTGCCGATGAATATGTTTTTGTTCTTATCAATAAAACATGTAGGTTAAAATACGCAAATATGTTGATAATTATTAGTCTATATAAATTAGCATGCAAATATTCAAATCGCCCCTACTCCTTTACTATTACTATTATTATTTTAATAAAGAGTTAGCTCCTCGTGCAGACCAGTTTAGAATAGGGCTCAGGTTCAATTCTCCTGGGTAGTTAAACCTACCCAGTCAAGCATTCTGAAAACTAGGTACTCTTTTTTGTTTGCTTGTTTTTTGAAACAGAGTCTCTCTCTGTCTTCCAGACCTGAGTACAGTGGCACGGTCTTGGCTCACTGCAACCTCTACTTCCTGTGTTTAAGCGATTCTCATGCCTCAACCTCCCAATAGCTGGAATTACAGGCATGCATTATCACATCCGCCTAATTTTTGTATTTTCAGTAGAGATGGGGTTTCGCTGTGTTTGCCAGGCTGATCTCCAGTTCCTGGCCTCAAGTGATCCGCCCACCTCAGCCTCCCAAAGTTCTGGGATTACAGGTGTGAGCCACCACACCTGGTGGAAAACTAGGTATTCTTAGAGAAGCAATTCTGAGATCAAAATGGCTATATTTAGAACGCATAAACAGAAATCTCTGATTTAAATTAACTACTAATTTAACATTATTTTGAAGCACTGGGCCCAGATTACAAAGGGAATTAATTCATATTCCTTTCTTGAAAAGAAGTCCTTTGTCTTTGTGCATTCAATTTTTCACTGTCACATGAGTACATTCTTTTCACCACATGAGTTCCAGGCTGGCAGAAACATCCACTAATCCTTGGACCTCTTGGCTGGAACGACAAAAATGCATAAAATCTTACCAGGCCAAAAGAGATCAACTTTAAAAATCTTTGGCATCCAAACATGTCAGAACTGTTTTTCGCTGGTTCTCCAAACCGTTTGTGTTCCTCATATATGGTCCAGGGAATCTGTAATGTCAGTTCCTACTTTTATTGGGCCACCTGAAATTTTTAAGCACCATATTTCATTTACCTTTCTTAGTTGTTTATAATCTTCACCGCTGTTTTTACGAGTTTTCTTCTGCATGTCGCTAAGCCCAAGTGTGGAGATGTAATAGCCCATTCTTTGCCAATTAAAGCCCTTACTTTGACGTTGGCCACTTTGCTCCTGTGACATCTGCTCTTTCCATTATAGAGAAACTGGGGCTTTCCTTCTGCAGAACTGTGACTAAACAACCACCATATTCATCAGCGGCAACAATTGTTGTAAACAAGAAATGCTGAATTCCGAGGCTTTGTGAAATCCTGCCCCCAAGAGGCCACATGTTTAAAGTCAGTCACGTGGTCCTCAGAAATGATTTTAGAAGTCACAGTAAAATTGCAAAGACACCCAAATATCCTAGTGTGATGCTGTTGCAAAACTGTTTCTAATTTTGGAGTTACGCTATGAGGAAGGACTTATGGAAACACATGGATAAAGAAGCAGCAAGTCACTGTCCCAAAGACACTAAAAAACATATTTGAGAAAGGAAATATCTAGCGTTAAAACAACATAGATGCATTTTCCGAAAACAAATTTAATTGAGAAAAATAATAATGATAACAATAATGATCTAATCCCAGGACATGTCACAGGAATCAATGACTACCTAAAAGCTAATGGTCCAAGGTAATGCTCTCAGGAATTAGTCTTGCTTAATGAACTGCTATTGGTTTAGTAAACGA